GGATCCGCCCTGGGCAGCCTCGACCCGCGGTAGGAATTTCATTCAGTGCCCTGGGGAGGGGATAAACAGGCGAGTAAATAGCAGTGACAGCGAATCTCTCGTCCCTGGGGGAAGAGTGAGAGGTCCCCCTTCTTGCCTTCCCTGCCCCTTCGCCCCTGTCCGGTAAGGTGTGAGGTAAAACCTTGCCGCCCCCCGAGGAGAAATCCCGGGGGGGAGACTGAGAGCCCCGGCGCTCTGCGGTAACCCGGCACAGCAATGGCTTCCATCAGCTCTCACCAGCCCCAGCCCTGTCCAAGGTCAGGAGATGCAGCGAAGAGTGTGTGTGAGGGGAGAGGAGAAGGGGCAGCGGTGGAGGGGCCGGGTGCTCGGTGATGGCCGGAGAGTCCCTTCCTCGGGGAGATGGGTCACTGTGCGGAACCACCAGCGCGTAAACAGCTTGCACAACGCAGTCCTCCAGCCAAGCAAGAAGACGTTTAAAAGAAATCCTCCCAACCTGTGTTTTCTTCCATATATGTGTCATTTTGGTATATAGGTCAAGCACTACAGTTTCCTTTGTAAAAGAATCAGGATTTATTCCTCCCCTGATTAATCTTTTTTTTTTTTCTTTAATTTAACATAAATCGTTGTAATGATGGTCAAGTTTTTCTCAATTCGTTGCCCACATACACCTTAACTGGTTATGGTGATATAAATCTATATTGCTAGATCATAAGTATGCTCCCCTGATTAATCCATTTGCCCTGAGGTAATCATTTGCCCTGATATTTAAGGAAAAGCATAAGCAATTACCGCTACGCTTTTTTTCAGCAGGTCCATGTTGACTGTTCAGGATTTTTAGTAGCTATTTTGTCATGAAACAGCTACGTGTTCCAGTCTAAAATGTACGTGACTATTGAGCAGTCTTTCATACATATTTAAATAGGTTCTTAAGAGCAGTTGTCTGGAGATGGCGAATGAACACATTAAGGGGGGGAAACCCAACCAAAAAAAAAAAACCAGCTCAGCCTGAAATGGTTCTGTATCTTTCTGGAAAAAAAATAATCCGTTTTCTTTTGGTATTTTGTTTTCAGCAAAGTGCCAGAAGATTCCCATGACTGTATGCACTGAAAGGCCTTGGTCAGGGATTCAGATTTGTTCAAAACAAATATTAAATCCCACTGTGTGATTTTTTTACACGTTTAAATGCAACTAGCAATGAGTTTTTTTCATGAAATCTTCATTTGACCTTAGTTATAAATTGTGGAGAGCAAAATAATGAACAAAAGATTGAAATTAGGATGCTTTTTGCTGCATTGTGTGCAGGATCTGTAG